AGTATAGGTCTATTTTGTCTAACATCAGCTTTGACGTTCTCCAATTCTGAGTAAAAATCTGAGTGAGATTAAAGTTTCCTTAAATAATACTGCAAGATAAAATGGCAAAAGAGAATGAAGACAAAGATTGTAACTTCTTTATGATGGCATCGAAGCCTTCCTAAATTTTCAACGTGGTTGAGAAAATAGCCTCTTCTCAAAAAAAAAAGTGTAAATAAACCAATTTGAATCATTTACACCAGAATTTCCCAGTACCTTCAAAGTCTTGGAGACTCCTTGATGCCCGCGTTGATGTAATCTTTAATCATCTTTATTTGGTTAAAAGTGGATTGCAGGAACAGTGAAATGGCATCTCTTCGAGTCTCTCTACAAACAGAGACTTCATTTTATAATCAGGATAATAAAGGAAGCAGATGAAAAGAAATAGCCCTCTTTCTGATGGGTTGCAGCTTCATTCAGAATAATGCCTTTCTTTGTCGCAGAGTTTGTTGCTTTTTCATTTGTTTGCTTTTCCCTGTAAAATTACTCACCTTTTCTGGCTTCAGCTCCTCACATAATGCTGTTCCTATTGGGGTTTTGGGGGGGCAGGTTGTCCTGTTGGGTGGGGTAGAAGAGGACATCTAAAGTCAAATTTAGTGGAAGATCTCAGCCCCAGGTTTGCAATTCAAATAAATGTGATTTTATACGAGAGCAGGAGTGCACCATTCTTGGATGCTTCAATTTGTACAAATGGACTTGGGTAAATCATGTTAGGAATAAACCATAATATTTTTATGCGGGATTCGGTTATTTTCTTTTGCAAATCCTTTGTATGCATTAACTATATGTTAATAAATAGGAAGCATTTTAAGGTACACCACTCTCAATGCAACATATCAACATAACCAAAGTGTAATTTGACTCCTACCTCAAGGTCCTGACAGTTTAAGAAAAAAGAAAGGAAAATTTTGTGAACTAGAATTCTTCTGTGAATTTTTTTTAAATAGAAAAAAAATGACTTGTTTTAAATACAGATAAGCAAAAAGCTAACAAAATGGACAGCAATGGTCTTGAATGAAATAAGAAAAAACACAAACATCAGGAATGTTTTCTCTTAGCATAATGTCCAAATTCACCATATATTTCAGAATGGTAGAATTCTCACACCTTCTTTTTGTGCGAGTTCACTTGACTTGTAACATGTTATTGGCCAACAAAGTGCAGAACAGATTGTAATCACTTTAACTTACTCTCATCTGATCGTTTTTATGCACCTCCAGTTTCTCACTTGGATAATTAGAGAAAACGTTGAAATGGGTGTCAACAACTGAAATTATTTCCAGTCAGGGCCATTTCTTGAAAGGGCACCACACTTTGACTATAAATTTCTTTAGGAGGGTTTTGGGGTTGGGTAAAAAAAGGGACGCGGTGGCTCAGTGGCTCAGTGATTGTCGATCAAAAGATCGGCAGTTCAGTGGTTCGAATCCCTAGTGCTGCGTAACGGGGTGAGCTCCCGTTACTTGTCCCAGCTTTCTGCCAACCTAGCAGTTCGAAAGTACACAAAAAATGCAAGTAGAAAAATAGGAACCACCTTTGGTGGGAAGGTAATAGCGTTCCGTGCGCCTTTGGAGTTTAGTCATGCTGGCCACATGACCACGGAGATGTCTTCAGACAACGCTGGCTCTTCGGCTTTGAAACGGAGATGAGCACAGCCCCCTAGAGTCGGGAACAATTAGCACATATGTGCAAGGGGAACTTTTACCTTTTAAAAGAAAACCCACTAAACAGGTTAACTCAGCCATGCTCACAATCCTGTGCAATCTAAATATGGCAGAAAATTCAGTATTTCGCCCACTGGGAACCTGGTGTTTAAGCATTTTGAAAAGTTTCAGTTCATCTAAGATTTATTGGAACATCTCAGAAAAAACTGTTTTTAATCTTCCTAATGTACAGCCCGCTATATTTTTAAAACAAATTTTCCACATCATATCATAATGTTTGTGATGTTTTTTAATCACTTATTTAAAGAACCATTTTAACCATTTTGGAAATGTCCCAGGCTTGAGATATGTTTTTCTTTTAAGCCTGGAACATTTCTAAAAGTGTTGGAATAATGTCCAAATATTTCCAATAAAGTTGGAAAAGTGTTTGATCTAAAAATAGAGCATTTTGAATTTAAAAGATTCGATTTATGATAGAAAAAAAACACATATATTTTTAATGTGCCAAAATCTTAACAAAGTCTAATTTTACTTTGCAATATTGAAGATTAAAGACATGTTATTTTTAAGATTATTGACATATAGAGAGAACAGCAAAAATCAAATATTAAAGACAACTAAAAGGCATGATAGATTTTGTTTATTACATTTTTAAGTGCCTGGTTTATAAAGTTCATTTTTGAATGAATGGTAGTTCATCTGTTGTCACTTCCACTACCTGCAAATGTAGGGGAGTGCAAAGCAAAGTTCATTTAAGGACTGTTGGAGAGAAGATATTTTTGTCTTAAAGGCCTAAGGAGAAAAAGGAAGAGAACAGTGTAACAGAAACAATGACAAAATAATTCTTATTTAAATTACAAGAGAACACATGCAAGGTTGGAAAAATACAAGTACACCTCAGTGACCACACCAGTTTTAAATCTGTCAGTCAAGTTTAATTCATCTTAAAGAAGTAAACTACATTGGTATATTTAAGACAAACATTTTTTTTTCTATGCACACTATCCACGGGACAGTCCCTTTTCCAAAATAACTACTTTTTAAGAGTCCCAGAAAAGCACTTTTTCAGAAAGTTTTCCCAATTTAAAAAAAAAAACTTTCTATGCTTCCCCCCACCCTTTATTTTTCTTAAATTCATCTGAGAAGGAAAAAAAAACATAAAATCCCCAAAACATTTACATTGCAAGCTATGTTCAAATGCATAAATTGATATATACCTAACCAATGTATCGCAACTGTGTTTTTTTTTTACTTAGTTCACTTTTTGTTCATCAATAAAAGAATATAAAAATCTTGTTCAACAGAGTGTTAAGTGTATTAAAATAGATTTGTATAGTACTGCACAGTTTCTCCCGGAGTTGTGAAAATGGATAAAAGGGCTTTGTGTGCTGCCTCCTGGGGGGTAGCAGCTTCCAATCCATCAAAAAAAAACAAAATAGCTTTTTTTCGGCACCGTATGAGAGGCGAAGGTGAGAAGCCTCACCTGTGGCACGCAAAGACAGAGCCTGGTTTTTGACAGAGCTGAATTCAGGGCGCCATTGCGGAGGGGCAAGAACCATCTTTCTCACTGTCCTCAGCACTTATATTTTTGGCCATGTCTACGAGTCCATAGGCTGCCTTAAAAAAAAAATTAAACAGCCCCAATTCCTCTTGATAAAAAAAAGTAACCTTAACCAATGCTATTAAAATACTCTGCTACTTTCAATTTAATCTTTATTATATCCCTCAGAAAAAACTTTAAATTTCCCCTTCAACCCTTGAATTCTGAAATGGTGATCCTTTGGAAGCAAAGGAGAAACAGAGCTATAAAATGGAAAAAGCCACACTGACAAGAAACACATTTGCCCATCAACAACTTGAGAGGTTAAGCCTCAAGGCGCTAGCATAGGCTATCTGAAGACCTATACTGGGCCCAGTCTCAGCTTGGTTGCTTCAGGAAGACTAGCTAGTGAAAAGTCAAATGAAATATAGGCAATTTTCTAGCATCTTCTCGAGCTAAAGCTAATGTTTTACACGTGCTCAAATTTAACAAAATTATAAAAAGAACATTAAAAAAAAAAGTTTTCACAATCAGATACCCCCCCCCAAACTCCTGATATATCCAATAAAAGAAATGACCACTTGAGGCAGTTTATTTCCTGTCTTGTAAATTTTAGCAGATAGTTCTGCAAGTAAGGGGAGGTAAAAACAAAAAAACCAACATTTTTCCACATTTCCTATTTTACAATAAAAATGCAGTACAAAAGAGTTAAGTTTTTTGGCATATCATTTGTACTGTTTGGATAAAATAAAAAGCAGCAATAATGAATCTTATTTGCTTTCTTCCTTCAAAAAAAAAAAAAGAAAAAAGGGGGGGCTTCAAAATCAGCCATGTCTGCTGCAGGATGAGGTAAAAAAATTAAATCAAAATGGCAGCCATGAAGTGCAATCAATACGAAACAGATGAGCTTTGATTGCATCGTCCCAGCTGCCATCTTGACTTTTTTGACCTTATCTATGGACAGCCCTGAAAGGAAACCCCCCCAAACTAAAAAGATCCAACTGATTAAAATATTTCTCACTACTATCATTGTTAAACCTTGAACAACAGCAGAATCCCCCCCAAAAAACATCCCCAATGAGAAAAATACATCAATAGCAAAATAAGTTAAGAGGACCCGCTAAAATGAAGGGTTTTTACAGGCATTAATCTTTCAATACTTCAGAAACGCATATACAGAAGCCTCAGCATGAAAATACTTCAATATTTCACTAAAAATGGTAAATTTCATACATTTTTATTTAAATATCTGCAATTATAATACTGAAAAGAAAAAGATTTGATTTTGAAGGCTCTGAAAGTGTCCACAAATGTAACTCTTCTCTATAGCCCTGAATGAAAACGACACTTGATCCTTTTTTAAAAAAAAAAAATCAGGAATCTATGCTAGTTTTTTTTTTTTTTTTAAAGAAAAAGTCACCATTTTCCATTCTTGGTGCCTGTTTCTATCTATCTATCTGCGCTAGCACACTAATGGTTCGCCTTTCAACCTATTTTTTTTTCCTTCCCAAAGGGCAGCTTCTTTGCACCTCTGCAAAGGAGGTGCAGCCCCCCAAAAAAGAGGCAGGCCCCTTCCGCCTCTCCAGGTCGCCCGCCTTCCATCGACCAGAGACGCGGCATCCTTTTCTGCATTAATTACATTAAGGCCAAATCAACCAAACGAAGAAGGGAAAGAGAGGATTGTAAGCACTGAGATTCCCAGCAATGAAAAAAAAAAAAAAGGAGGAGGGGGAGGAGGGAAAAATAAGGATAGGGAGCTGAAAGGGGGGGGGGGGACACAATGGTGGGATAATTATTACTATTTTTTTCCCCCAGCACAACTTTTAGGACATGGAAGAAGACCAATGTCATTTTCTTGTTATCCCAGGTTTTTTATTTTTCTGGATGCATCTTTTCTCTCCTTACGCCTGCATGATCTTAAAGCGTTCTTGTTGGCTGGATTGGTTCTCTTCTGAAGAAAAAAGTGTGTCTGTGTGGGGGGAAACCCACCAATCCGGGGGGGGGGGAAGGGCGAGGGGAGCCCCTGTCAGTTGTTGCCCTGTGTCGACTGCAAGGGTTGGGGAGCAGCGGCAGCCGAGGCAGATGATGGTTTGGTCCAGGGGACAGTCAGCAGGGAGGAGGAGGTGGTTGTTGTTGTCATGGTAACCTGAAGCATCTGCTCATTCTGTATCAGTCTAATGAGAGTTTTGAGGTGTTCCAGCGATGATTGAACCCCTTTCTGCTGGGCCAACAGGCTGTTTTTGAGCTCTAGGCATTTCTGTCAAATTAGAAATGGACAGAGTAAGAAACCATCCACAAGAAACAATCGAAATATCCCTCAGCAAACGGAATAGAATAGAATAGAATAGAATAGAATAGAATAGAATAGAATAGAATTCTTTATTGGCCAAGTGTGATTGAGCACACAAGGAATTTGTCTTTGGTGTATATGCTCTCAGTGTACATAAGGAGAATAAAATACATTCATCGAGAATAAAAAATACAACACTTAGCGATAGTCAAGGTTACTAATAAGCTATCAAATCATACTAGGAAACAAATAAAAACAGTATAAATTGAAAGATACAAGCAACATGGTTATAGTAATAAGTGGGAAGAGATAGATAAGGAACAATAATAGTAAAGTAGTCTTAGTAAATTATTTGACAGTGTTGTGGGAATTAATTGTTAAGCAGAGTGATGGCATTCGGGGAAAAACTGTTGGGAAAAAATGGACGTCATGGAGGACCGGCAACCAAGTTAGTTGCCCTGCGACATCCTTATGGCCAGAATATCAGTCAGGGCACTTAAAAACATATTTCCCTTCCCTTTCCTATTTCTTCTTGGTGGCATACCTACATAACTTAATACAGAGATTGTTTTCCAAACCAGTTTCAATCTGAAGTAACGTACAGTTTATTAAGATCACCTTTATCTAACCGTGACTGATTTCCTCATGAAAGAAAAAACAGGATAGAAATTCCACAAAAAAATAAATGAGCACAGCCCACTCTGGTTATTGTTTGAATGGGAGAACTGGCGGGATTCTAAAAAGGGAAAGTAAAAAAAAAAAAAATCATGTATATTATTTTTATTTTTATTAAAGACATTCCTATTGCACTTGGAGATTCACGGGGAATATACACAAAAGAAATCAGAAGGTCCATGATGACATATTAAAAAACAAACCCAAACTAACATGTAACAAAGGAACCTGCACAAAAAATAAAGCAATAAAATGGAAAAAGAAAAGTTTGTGCTACATGTAAATTCAGAGGACACCTCCTGGGAAATTTCAACCATTTCAGCCATTTCAGGAGGTCAGCAGGGAAGGGGCCAACTTGTCTCTACCAGAAATAGTTCCACAGCGCTGGCACAGAAAAGCAGCACCTTCTCACTTCAGCCACCACCAGCCTCAACGTCTCAAAAATGTGGGATTTGCAGCAGTTTTCTCCTGGTTAGTCTAGTACTGGTTGGAGTAGATGGTTCTGCAGGTATCTGGGGGCCAGTCTATAAAAAGCGTTATAGGTCAAAAACAGCACTTTAAATTGTACCTGGAAACTGATCTGCAGCCAGTGTGGAAGTCTACAAAACCAGTATTATATGCTTCCAGTGCCAGTAACTGAAAAGCACATGGATTTTGCACAAATGAAGTTTTTGAGTGGTCTTTAAAGGCAGCCTGAAGCACTGCATGGTACCATTGTCTAACCAGGTGATAATGAGGGCATGGACGATTGTAGCCAGATCCTACCGCCAGAGGTGGGTTTCAGCAGGTTCTGACCAGTTCTGGAGAACCGGTAGTAAAAATTCTGACTGGCCCCACCCCCATCTATTCTCCGCCTCCCAAGTCTCCATGATCGGGAGAAAATGGAGATTTTGTAGTAACCTTCCCCTGGATTGGGGTGGGAATGGAGATTTTACAGTATCCTTCCCCTGGAATGGGGTGGGAATGGAGATTTTACGGTATCCTTCCCCTGCCACGCCCACCAAGCCATGCCACACCCACAGAACCAGTAGTAAAAAAAATTTGAAACCCACCACTGCCTACCATGTGTGCTCACATTTTCAGTTCCGGGCGAACTGGATTTTACAAAGGCAGCAGCCCACTCCTGCCCCTAGTCCTTCTTTTCATTAAACTAGACATACCCAATTCCAGAACCATTCTTTGTATATTTTAGCCTCCAGTTTCTTAATCATCTTTCTTGCTCTTCTCTGTACTCTTTCTAGAATCTCAAGATCTTTTTTACATTGTGGCGATCAAAATGCCGAAGGGCAGCTGCAACGGGACTCAACAGAGAATGCCATAAACTGCTCTTCGTGATTTAAAGGAACAGATATTTTTCCTTTAAGTACTTTTGTCTTGCAAAGTCTTGTTTTCTTAAAATTGCTCTTGAAGGAGCAATGTCTTTGGCTACCATCTTCTAGCTCGCCTGAAATTCGGAGGAACCTTCCCATTTGTCTCCCGCAAGCCTTGAGATAAGAAACAAGCTAGGAATTATACCTTCATTGCATTATTAAGAAAGCATTCTTTTTCCTCCAGCTGTCTGTGTTCTCCTCTTAATTCATTGCTCCTCTTTAATAGCCTCCTCTTCTCTTCTTCTTTGACTGAAAAAGACACAAACAGAAGCAATGAAGATAATGACACTTTCTACCAAACAGAGCAGTTAAGCAAATGCATCTGGAAAGAATTGGACAGATCCTTGGGGGCAACAACTATGGGTGATGCAGAAGAGGCAATGGCCTTCTCTACTTCAACATGATCTTTCTTGACTTGAGTCAAGCCCATTTCGCATGGCTGCCAGCTTTTCCTACCTGACATAGTTTTTGTGTATTAGCCAAAGACTACACGACTTCGCAACTAACAACAACAAAAAATCTCCAATGGGCCAGCCAGCCAAGATAGGAGTAGCCCCATCCTCCAAAATTGTCCCAGAGAAGGATGAGTGTTGTTCTGGAGAAGGGATAAGGCTGGAGTTCTCTCCAATGAGAAATGGTTCTACCACTTACCACAGGTAAACAAGCTTAGCTAATTACTATATGGTGTCAATCAGCTCAGCTTTTCAATATGGCTGGAAGCAAATTACTATTTAAGGCGTGTCAAATTTTTGAACTTTCAATTTCCAAGCATGAGGGGTGCTCAAATATTGTGACCTGCCTTGGGGATTGTAAAGATATTTTGGTTACTTTAATATAATCTAGATGTGCTTGGTAAGTAACTGCATAAATATCATAACTTTTTTAACATTTTATTTGTGTCAATTTGCTCAGCTTTTCAATATGGCTGGAAGCCCAACAATAGGATAGGAACAAGAAAAATGTCAGATCTCAATCCAGTGCCCCCTTTGCATGCAGAAATGATCCAGACAATATATTCCCAATATATATGAGTCTATATAAACAAGACTCTTAGATCCTTCAATGAACCCACATTTTTTCTCATACAATTCAGTGGCTGCAATGAGATCAACAAGAGAATGCAAGTTAGTCCTCACTTACCAGCTGCAATTGGGACTGTCGGTAAGTGGCATGGTCATTAAATGAATCATCATAGCACCAAGCCGAAATCACAACTTTAGTTTTGCCGAGATTGTTAAATCACAAATCACCCACAGGCATTAAGTGCAGCATCACTTTTCTTATCAGAAGCCAGTTGTGAAGCTTGCAAATGATGATCACGTGATTTTGGGATGCTGCAACCATCAGAAACACGTGCCATTTGCCAAGAGCGTAAATCACAATCATGTGACTGCAGGGAGGCTGCAACAGTCCCATGTCCAAAGGCAGATCGTCAATCAACTTTTCAGCGTCATCCTAATTTTGAACGGTCAATAAATGGAGCAGTTGTGAAGCGAGGACTACATGCATAATGATCCATTCCATAGTCGGCAAAGAGATTTCCCAATTTCAGGCCACTGACTGATTGATCTATATACATGTATATGCTGTCACTTGTTAGGATTTCTACCACCAGGAAGGAGATATAGAAGTATAGCCAAACAGGCTGAAGAACAGTTTTTATCCGTGGGCTGTCAGACTCCTGAATGAGAAATAACATCATAACTACATAGTATGATGGACTGCAGGGCGGCACAATGTGTAACATGTTCACACTGGTGCAATAGGACTGGATGTTTTGTTAATATGATTTATTGGGTTAGGGATTTTCTGTCTTCACTGTGAGTTGTATTGTGTTGGGCACTGAGGGAGCTCAACCAATCTCATTGTACGTATGTTGTGCACTGACAATAAAGATTTGAATTGAATTGAATTAAAGGACAACATCTAAAAAAGTCTAGAAAGTGCAAAAGACGTGAGAATTAAGGTAAAAATGAGCCAAAAAATGTTTCCAATAAATAAGTTAGGAAGACATCTGAATTCATCCACTGTCTTGTCTGTCTCTCTCCAAATGGTTTTGTCTCCAGTGTAAATTGTGTTAAGAACAGCTGCTGGATAAAACTTCTAGTCTGACAATTCCTGTTACATTTAGATGGGCACATGCCTTTGGAGAAGCTTGCAATCCACCCCTGGGGTGACTCCAATTTTCAAGCTGCTGACATTTGAGAAACACTATCTAATAATCAATCACTTCAGCACATACCTGTTTTATGAGTAACGTACGATTGCACCACAGCCAGAGTTCCGGACCAGGGGATATTGTCATCTTTCTTTAACACCTACAGGTTTCAGATAATAACAGCTTTCAGCAATTCAAGGACACTATATTTGTGAACACCTCATCATCTCCTCCCCCCGAGTTTTCTTAATCAAAAGTTGATCATATAAGAAATACCCAACAGTTACACAAAACTGGCTCCAGTGGCTTGCAAAATAAGAATTCATGGGAGATCATATAGAAAAAAAATGTAAACACTCCCTTTTCCTCTTTTACTATGGAGAATAGGAAAATATCCTCTGTTTTATCCATCTAGCAAATATCTCCCCGAGCCACTGAAACTGGTTGCCAGCCACCATATATGCAGGGCCCAAACTGCATAAAGACACTGAGCGTGTCTGTGTTGACAATGAAATACTTTGTCGTTGTCATAACCACTAAAGGTATATTTTGCCTTGTCTCAAAAGAGAAAATTTGCTTCAACAAATCTAGGAATGATAACCTCTCCTCAGATATCCCTGTGAGAAGCAGAGAGCATAAAAAAAAAAAGCTGGAATCTCTCCTGCAAATTTTATTTCCTACACAGGTAGCCCCCGAGTTATGTCATGTGACCAACCCAATTTTACGACCTTTTGTGACAGTTGTTAAAGCGAACAGCACAGTTGTTAGGAGAACCAATCGTTTACTATGGGTGTGTTTTTGTCCCAAAATGGAAGCAATGCTGGTTTTTGGCAAAACTGTCATAAAACATAATCATATGATGTTGCAGGATGTTGCAAATGGCGATAAATGCAGCTCAGTTGCCGAATGCCCGAAGTCTGGTCATGTGACTAAAGAGCGGGAAACTGCTGGAACTTCAAATCTGGATCATAAGTACCCCTGAAGTAGGGCCATTGGAACTTTGAATGGTCACTAAGCGATCGGTCGTAAGTGGAGGAGTACCTGAATTCTCCATGGGGAAAACTTAAATTTCTATAATTCAAGAAAGGTGTAAGAGAATATTTATTATTTATTTATTTGGTAAATTTATACGGCCACTCACTTCATATATTTGTATATTGAATATAGTACAGTATATATAATACTACTACACTTGGAGATATCCCGTGTCTTAAAATTGGTGAGGGATTCACAATTATATCTTTTAAGTTCCTGTTAAAGGTATTTTAGATCTAAGATTTCTCTGCAGGAATGCTGTGTTTTTATTATTTTTTTCCATTTTTAAATTCAAATATATAATTTTTGAGTTTTGCTCTACCCTTTAAAATAATCTACCAATATATTAAATAAGCAAATGAATGAGGGAGATTATTTTTTTTTCACTGCTTTGATTGTGGCAAATATTTTGCAGGTCTGTCTTGATTTATTTATTCTATTTAGGAACTGCCCATCTCTTGACAGAGTGTGAGATTATTATTTAATAATCGTATCTGAAATGGCCATGGGAAGATTTGTCCAAAAAATCAAGACAGTGGATATAATGATGCAATTGAAGCGCCTTTTGATATGCATTTGAAAAGGATTCTGGTAAATACCAGGCTATGCAAATCGATATAATACGGATGTTTTCTTACAGAAGAGCAATCTAGAATTTTTTGGAGGAAGAGATATTATCAGCTTTTCTATCACACACTACTTGTTTTTTACATGACAATAATTCTAGAGTAGATAAATCCTAAAGATAGGATTAAAAATAAAAATAGGATTTATTTCGTTAAAGAAAAAGCAGGCATCCTTCAGAAACAAATGTTTACGCCCATCCGTAGAAAGTGGAATAACGATTATTTATTTTACACAATATTGACAGAATGAACAAGATATGGAAAATATTTTTGCAAATCATAGCATGCAAAACATTTTAAATCTTCGTTGGTTCCAAGTGCAAACTTCCCGTTTTTGAGGCTGACTTTGTTGTTTTGAGCAAGTAGCAGCTGCCTTTTGCGTTTTGGAATGGGATTTTCTGATCATATTGGCAGTCTGGTGGCTAAACAGCTCTGTTTTCCACTCCAAATACTCTGTTTCAACTCCAAATATTCTGTTTCAACTGGAGATATGAAACATCAGTTACTTCTTCACCAGCTGATTAAAGGTCAAGGTTCCCATCACACATATGTGCTAGTCGTTCCTGACTCTAGGGGGCAGTGCTCATCTCCGGTTCAAAGCCGAAGAGCCAGCGCTATCCAAAGATGTCTCCGTGGTCATGTGGCCGGCATGACTAAACACCAAAGGCGCACGGAACGCTGTTACCCTCCCACCAAAGTGGTCCCTATTTTTCTACTTGCATTTTTTACATGCTTTTGAACTGCTAGGTTGGCAGAAGCTGGGACAAGTAACGGGAGCTCACCCCGTTACGCGGCACTAGGGATTTGAACCGCTGAACTGCCGACCTTTCAGTCGACAAGCTCAGCGTCTTAAGTCACTGAGCCACCGCGTCCCCAGCTGATTAGGAATCTTATAAAGGGACCATGGCTATTGAGGTCATAGTTTACCTTCAAATGAGAAAGTAAGTTTTTGTGGCAAAGATGAATCTATCATACAAGTCTATCTTATCAAAATGAAACAGAGTTCACCTCTCAGAGATCCTTCGTTTAGTACCTGCAGGGGCCAAATAGCTCACCTTTTCTTGGCACTTGGGACAGACCCATACTCCTTTCGGAACAGTCTTCAAGGGAGGATCCAAGCAGCTGAGGTGATAGGCCCTGGAGCATGTTCCACAAGGTTGTAAGTTGGCACCATGCTTGCATGCTGAACAGTATTCCTCATGGCTGACCTCATTCTGAAAGATGGCAAGGGTAAAGTTGAAGCAGTTCCTCAGAAGCAGAAATAGGTTTTTTGGGGGCCCGCATTTTACTAAACAAGCATCAGTAGACCGTCATATCCCTCAACATTTCACTAGCACACTTGTTTATTTATGAGGGGTTCTTGGTGCTCTCTGAGCTGGGTTGTTTTCTTGCAGATGTTTCTGCTAGCATTCATGATGTTACCTAGTTTGGGTAATGAAACATCTGGAAGAAAACAAACCAGCTCAGAGAGCACTAAGGACAGTGGTGAAATGCAGCCGGTTCTATCCGGTTTGGGCGAACTGGTAGCGCCGGCGGCGGGAGGCTCCGCCCACCCGCCCGGACGTCATCACGTCCATTTTTGACCCTCTACGCATGTGCAAAAGGCTCTGTGCATGCATGGAGGAGGCGCGCATGCTCACATTTGCGAACCGGTAGCGAAGGTAAGTGGGTTTCACCCCTGATCAAGGACCCCTCATGTCAACCCTGAGCTACAAATACTCTCTTTTATTAGTACGTATTTATTCACAAGCTTTCCTTCTAGGATTACATCAAAGATCACTACCTAATTATCACTATGCTTTGCAACTAAATATGAATGTCTTGAGGCAGTGTTCATCATTCTGAGGAACAGGGAGTGAAAGCCACTGCAGGTAGTCCTCAACATACAACAGTTTGTTTAGCGACTGTTCGAAGTTACAACGGCACTGAAAAAGTGACCTACGACCATTTTTCACAGGTACGATTATTGCAGCATCCCCAAGGTCATGTGATCAAAATTCAAACACTTGGCAACTGGTTCATATTTATGACCTTTGCAGTGTCCCAATGTCACGTGATCGCCTTTTGCAACCTTTTGACCAACAAAGTTAATGGGGAAGCCAGATTCACTTAACGACTGCGGCAAGAAAGTTAGTAAAATGGGGCAAAACTCACTTAACGACAGAAATTTTTTGGGGGGGGTCAATTGTGGTCATAAGTCGAGGACTACCTGTATATTGAAGGTTCCCAGTAACATGGTTGCTTTAATGTTTCAAAGAAGTGTGCTTTGTCCATATCAACATACTCTGCAAATGCCTATGTCCCTCAGATGTTTTAATCAAGGAAGAAATCTGGTGGCCCTGATTGACAATGCAATGAAAATGCCAATTTAGCACACACACAACAGCTGTGAAAGATGGAAATTACACACTTGGAATTGTGATGAAAATTAATCAAAACTAGAATTGCTTCTGTTGCATTGTCCTAATACGTATAGAATGCAATATTAATCTCAAAATGAGAATTTTAAAGGATTTTCTTTCTTCTTTCTTTTTTTAAAGATAAACATCTATCTTTGCTTCTCAGAATGATAAAGGAACTGAAAAACCATTTCAGAATGGAAAGTCTGCAGCATTACAGTTTGATTAAATTATTTATTTATTTATTTATTTATTTATTTATTTATTTATTTATTTATTTATTTGATGGATTTTTCAAGGTTGCCTGATTCTGAAAAGACACTGGGCAATTGCAGTATTTTAAATGTATAATTTAAAAATACGGTTAAAAACCTACGTGCCCAAATCAAGCAGGAGAAGATACAAAAGTCTGCAAGCAACATCAAATTATTCAGAGTCTTGTATGAGCATAAAGATAATGGACAGTGTTGATCTTTCTTTTTCTTCTAATAGTCGTCCTGGGAAAAGGACTGAAGCTTCAAGGCCAACCAAACTGAATTAAACTCCTATTTCATAGATACACTTACAACAAAATATCAGAAGAAAAGTGTAATTGTAAGGCCGGGAATAGCAAATGCCTTCTTATTTATCTTTGCAAGCCACTAAAGGACCTTTTTGGAGATTGAAGCCTGAAATATAACTGCTGAAAAAATAACCCCAGTATCTCAAAATAGTGTGTCAAATTAAATTGCTTTGCTAATCTACTGGCAATGTTAATTACTACTAGGAGAATTAAAAGTGTATTCACTTTTGAATTCATATATTTTGCAGTTCAAAATAAATGTGATTTACTAATTTGGCTTTTGGCTTTTATAGAAAGATAAACATAACGTTTTTATTATAGAAATGATTTCATGAATTTACTGTTTTGTTTTAAATTTAGGCAAATTGTGATTCATACTAAACCATCAGTTACATGGAATAGCCAAGTGAGACTGAATAAACAATCTCCATCTTCCTGAAACGGTAACACAACCTCTCACGATCCAGCTTCAGACGTTGCCCTTAACCATCTATGCTGGAGTAGTGACTAGATTCTGGCAAATCTAAGATCTATAACAGAGTTTCTCCATTTTGGCAACTTTAAGATGTGTGAACTTCAACTCCCAGAATTCCCCAGAGGAGGAAGAGGAGGAATCCAATTTAATGTAGCCTCGGGTCCTGTCCATTTTATGAAGCTTTTCCCAGCCCATGATGCTACAAAACGCCCAGGTGGCTCTTGAGTCAATGGAAGGTATGGATCATGGCAGTACGGAAAGTATTTTGCAGGACTCACATATAAATTACTCTTCGCAGGGAAACATGCTATGATTGAAACAGTCTGTAGTAATGGACAAAAACGTACCTTCCAACATGGATCCTCATTGGCTAGCATTGTGAGGAAGGGCAAACACAGGTTAGTAGAAGTGAGGTTAGATTTGCAGCTTAGTGGGTGGCAGCTAATCAACTCAACCTGCATTTTCTTCGATTTACATTTTTCCAACCATAACAGTGTTTTTATCCAATTTAGCAACTTTAAGATGTGTGGACTTCAACTTCCAGAATTCCTCAGTCAGCGTGAAAAAAACTGATATACAATCTCAATATATTCCCCATTTTTGTATGATTCCTGTTTTGGAACCATGGAAATTATACTCAGTGAACATCCATAAAAATAACAGTTTAGGTTGATCAGCTAGGATTATGAAAGATAGCAATAGAACTTAGACTTATATACCGCTTCACAGTGCTTTACAGCCCTCTCTAAGCAGTTTACAAAGTCAGCCTATTGCCCCCAACAATCTGGGTCCTCATTTTACCCACCTTGGAAGGATGGAAAGCTGAGTCAACCTTGAACCAGTCAGAATCGGACTGCTGGCAGTGGGCAGAATTAGCCTACAATACTGCATTCTAACCACTGCACCACCAAGCTCAGAGATCAATGTCTTTTCTCAAAAAAATTAGTAGAAGAAATGAGAAATGTGGCAATATATAAAATAAGATATACATAATCCCCTGAAATACCACAGGAAAAAGCACCCCATCCTGGAAGCATTTGTCCATGTTAGGCATAAGATTAGTTCTACTTGAATAACACCAAAGTTCCAAAACTGAAGGTAACAACAAAGAATTGAAGATTTGATGGTAATAAAAACAACAACTGTGCGTTTTATCTGTGATACAGTCTTGAGTGCAGAGTTTAGCAACTGCCTCATTTAGCAACAGTTCGAAGTTAGGATAATGATGGAAAAAATAAATTTTGTGACCAATCCTCACATTTATTACTTTCACAGGTAAGCAAAGTTAAAGGGAAATTGTAAGCACAGTTTTTGGTTCACTTAATGACCACTTTGCTTAATAACCAAGTTGATCATCCCAATTGTGGTCACTAAGCAAGGATTACCTGTGCTAGGGTTCTGTTTTCTTTCTAAATTTTGAGAGTTTGTCCTTTTTTTCTCTTGCTAAAAAATTTCATAACTTTCTACTAGAAGCAAAAATTACAATTTCTAGTACAATTGCCGTACAGGTAGGTATTACTAATGGTATGATGATGTATACAATAGAAACATCCTAACAAGAAATTACAATACTTATTCAAACAATGTTATTAGAATAAAACAAAAACTACCAGTTTTTCCAAAAACATTTGTAAGATCACTAACTTTTGCTATAATTTTACACATTTAGGGATCAAGTTTCAGATATACAGCAACGCAGCTATATTCCCGAGTAAAATTTTGTAAAAGCACTTCAAATCTATTTTCTCTTGTTCCAAGTTTGAAATTTCTGCCAGATTTCAATCTCTCTGAAATCTAATGGCATATGGGTTACAAGCAGAAGAGACTAGAATGTACAAGAACTATTTTATTCATGTGTTTGAAGTGCTGATCTTCCATTCAGTAACTTGAAGAGCTTACCTCTTGTGGAGAGGAAAAAAGGATTGTTCAAATAATTTGATGCAAGGCGTTTCCGCTGAAAAAGAAACAAAAATCCACATATTTATATGAATGACAGCTCTTGCATCTATTTCTGAAAAATCCAAGTAGAGTTTTCTTCTAAAAGAAATTAACCCAAAACTTAAATGCATAGTACGTTAGTATGTGTACGTTTGTGAAAAAAACATGAATGTTTGCAGTTTTATTGTATTCCTTTTAGATTTAGTCGATTAGTTTGAATCAATGTGTGAGCAATATTCCTCTGTTGTGGTTGTGCAGTGATAGTAAATGGGTCAAATTTCTTTTGGGAATGACTCATGGCCCCCCAGAGGATTTATTCTCGAGATAAGGAAATGCTGTAGGACAGGGATGTCAAAGTGGCGGTCTGTGGGCTGGATGCGTCGCGTGCAGGCCACACCCACCCCAGCTTTGTAAAGGGGAAAACATCACAATACATCGTGTGATGGCAACGTGAGGTGTTGTGTTTGACACCTGTGCTGTAAGACCTTTAGTTGAGAATATCAATATCCACAGGATGTGTTGTGGCCCGTCAGGGGCCTGTGCAGATTGTAGCTGACTCTGACAGCGAGGAGGCTGGTGTGGTGCTGCGCCAGCAGCCTGTGCAGCTGGCACTCGAGACAATGAGGAGGCTGGAGAAGATGTGGTGCCAGAGGCAGGGATTCAGCCAGGGCCTTCAGAACCTCCAGAAGCTCCTTTAAGTGAAGAGGAAAAAGAGGAGGAGCCTCTTCTTGATGCACAGGCGTGCAGAGCTGCCAAAAGGCAGGAGTGGCTCCTCCGTAGGAGGTCTCCTCGAGAGCAAGGCTTGGGGCTAATTGGCCACTCCCTTAGCCTATTTAAGGAGGAACGCCGACTGAAGCAATTTGTAGGGAACAACTTTAGTTCATTCTCCTTCGTGTCTGGATTCTCTGCAAATTGCTTCTGGGCTTTCTGCCAACCTTAGTAAGATTGTGATTACTTTATCTTTGGTTTCTTGTAAGCTGTTAAGAAAGTTTATTAACAGCCTTTGTTTTGAAAAAGGCTGAGTTATTTTAGTAAATTAAGTTTTGTACAAACTTTGTGTGTGCTGTATTCTTTGGGGTCCGTAGCTGGGGCAGAACAGGATAGAAACTGGTGAAGAGACAAAATAGTCCATACACAAAAGGGGTGGGACTAGTACCATGACATTATGTTTGCCATCTTGCCCATTCTGGCACTTCCCCAGAGATACTTTGATAGAAAACGTCTCCAAATTTCATTCTCTCAAGAGTCAGGGTCCCAGATTTTGGACACATTCTTTAAGTTAGCCCTTGAGGCACCTTGGTTCAAAAAATGTTGCCCTATAAGTGGATCATTTCGCCCAGCTAAAGATCATGGCAATGAGTTTTAGTAGTATATAGATTCCTGTAATTGTTTTTATCCTAATCAAGAACATTGCTTCCCTTTCAATAAAATGTTGTACTTTTTTTAAAAAAAAAAAAAAACTTTTTTGTTCTATTAGTTGACAAATTTAGCCTGACTTTAAATTTATTCATGGCCTAATTGCTTGTGTTTTAATTGCAGGAACTGAAATGAAATCTGATGAATCTAAAACCATAAGTTTACTTTAATTGGTTTCCTGTTTTAGGAATGACCCCATTGTATAAATCTTTTAAATAATGTAGTCCTTTCATTTTCCTAATAGTGGGTACTGTCTAATTTTACCTTCATCATAAAAGGGATGATGAAATAAAAGAGCTAAAGGACGATGGAGGTGGAGTTGATATAGAAGCCCATTTTTTTCAAATGTTGAAATTTTGAAGAAATAGACTTTGAATGTATTACAGGTCTTTATGAATGTTTTTGCCCTCATTTTTGCTACTGGCATACTTCTAGATTCTTTGCTTAACCAAAGTGTTAATTCTTTTGACTTTATCAAGCCAAAATATTGTTAATCGTAGTCAGAGAGTTAATGTTTTCAATTTCAAGGTCTCCTTCAATAGTGTTTTTATAGAGAATCTTTTAATTTATTCTTGCTTTTTTTCTATTCATTTATTACTTATTTTACAAATTTTTGATGCCCATCTTATGGTCCAGAGACTCTTCCTAATCATTTCTTGACATTATTTTTCAGATGTATTTACTCAGTGTTTGTTTGGAAGAGATATAGGAACAAAAGAAGTAGAGACACTTTTACTTCTTTCATTTACTTAATTGAGGAATTAATTAATGCTTTATGTTCAGTTGAAATAATTTGCCATTTCGCACAGGTCTCTTTGAATGGGCGTTGGATCACTGATATTAACAGTCTGGTCCAGTAACTTTTTCCAATTATAGAGCAAGAACAGGGAAAAAAGCAATTTCAAATTAAGCAATTAGCTATTAAGAATTGCCTTCGAGATCAAATTGTAAGTTAAATGGCCACAAAATGCCTGGAATGTCAGTATTTCTTTATCAGTATTGCTCATAAAGAAATAAATCAAAGATACTAACTGAGTAAGTGCTAAAGAGCTGACTCGAGTTTTATTTAAAGCCACTTCTGAAAGCCAAAAGCATTTCCTCATGAGGAGTTTTGTAGATCTCTCTCCTGGGGGGTTAGTGAGGGGGACATTTATGTCCCGTTTCTTTGCTTCTTTGCCTTAAATTAGTCAAAAAGATAACAGATAGGGCCAGCTTTATTCTTCTGTTTATTCGTCTGTTTATTAAACACACATAAATTGTTGATTCAGTTTGAAAAGAACTGAAGACGTTTCTTGAATGAGAAGGGAAATGTCTTCAAGGAAAAACAGACCAGTTGACTTTTGAAAAAGCACCTTTGGGAAACCCAGTCATTGTTTTCAGACGCTTGCTCCTGGGGAAGAAAAGTATGGCAAATCTAGACAGCTTACTAAAAAGCAGGGACATCACCCTGCCAACAAAAGTGCTTATAGTCAAGGCTATGGTTTTCCCAGTTGCAATGTATGGCTGTGAAAGTTGGACCATAAGAAAGGCTGAGAGCCAAAGAATTGAGGCCTTTGAACTATGGTGCTGGAGAAGACTCTTGCGAGTCCCTTGGACTGCAAGGTGATCAAACCGGTCAGTCCTAGTGGAGATCAACCCTGACTGCTCTTTAGAAGGCCAGATCCTGAAGAGGAAACTCAACTACTTTGGCCACCTAATGAGAAGGAAGGACTCACTGGAGAAGAGCCTAATGCTGGGAAAGATTGAGGGCAAAAGAAGAACGGGACGGCAGAGAACAAGGTGGCTGGATGGAGTCATTGAAGCAGTCGGTGTGAGCTTAAATGGACTCTGGGGGATGGTAAAGGACAGAAAGGCCTGGAGGAACTTTGTCCATGGGGTCACGATAAGTCGGACATGACTTCATAACTAACAACAACAATGATACGATTTAGAAGCCAGTGATAGAATGATACACAAAGCAAAGCTTCTTAGCAAAGGAAGTTTAATAAATAAATCTAACCCTGAAAATTGTCCGCAATTTTAGACATAATACATTCAGAGAAAAAGAACAATTCAAAACAACTTTCTTCCTACTTCTTATCACTTTTCCTTTGTGTCAAATTTGCTACTACTGTACTGAGATAAGTTTCCTGAACTGGAAGTGTTTTAAGTTAAAGAACGGAATTGTTGTGGCCCAGCGAGGGCCAGCATAGCTGGCAATAGAGTTGGACAGTGAGGAGTTGGGGAGAAACTTGGACCAGTCCTGGGGGCTGGGGAAAGCTCGGGCGAGGGGTCTGCATCAGAGGCAGAAATAGGGCCAAGGCCATCTATTAGTTATGTGCAGCCTCTGGAGTCTGACATCAGCGAGGCAGAAGAACAGGGGCAGCCTGTTCCCAGTGTGCACATGCGCAGAGCTGCCAGACGGCAAGAACAATTAAGAAAACAGCGTCGACTTGGGAGTAAGGCTTGGAGATGATTGGCCCCTCCCATAAGTCATAAAAGAAGAGTGAACGGGACATGAGCTTTTGTAGGAAGCAATTAGTTCATCAGGCCGATTCAAGATTTGCAAGTGACTCTGTGCCAAGTTTGGCCTTGCCCTGCATCTGGAAATTAGCTCTCTGGCAGCGTTCCACCTGAGATAGGTGGGTGTTGCTAACCTTCCTCTGAAAGACTGTTTATCAAGCCTTGCAGACTGTAAATGAAAATAATTTACAGTCGTATAAATAAAAGAGGTTTTGTGGGACTAAATTTGTGCTGTTTAATTTCTAAGGAAGCCTAGGTCAGAACAGGAATAAGCAAATAAGTTTGTTTCCACATTTAAATATCATCAATTCTTTCTCCAACGTTGTACCAGACCTGTGAGCAGAGAATATTGAAATGATGCATTTCTAAATCTCTACTTTTTTTTGAAAAACAAAACCATCCCCGTTTCCACATACCTAAGCAAGCAGGTAAGTATCACCTATCATAAAGGTGATACCTGCACCTCTCATGAAGACCAGCTAGCGTTAAACTCAGATCTCGACCAGCAGTATAAAATCAAAACCAAAACATAAACTTGGTGATGCTTGGCCATGCTTTTGGTTCAAATTCGAAAAACAAAAGTCAAAAAACAAATTCGGACCATCAGTCAGAAATATTCAGGTCCAGTCCATAAACCAGATTTAAGATTCATTGAATTCTTTTTGGTCTGGAAAATGCCCAGTTTTACAGGAAGCTGGACCAGGGAAGAAAAAAGATCCTTCAAAGCTACAATCCTGACTAGAGTCAACATTTTGAGTCAGAAATTACCAAGGAAAATAAAACCTCCTTCAGCATGTTCAGCAGTCTCCAGTGGGATTAGAGCTCTGGGAGACGAGGGAATAGTCATCTCGCTCAAACTGTGGTTGGCACCTTTGAAAGGAGACTAAGCTCACATAATTCTTTTACTAATTACTTTAGGAAATTGCTTGTTAACTGCTTTTTAGCTATTAGGAATCTTTGGATTGACAAGTGTGAAAACACAAGGACAGTTTCCTTCAATCCTTCACGAAAATAAGCTTTTAAATACAGGTTTAAAGACTTTTTCTTATGGAATAAACATCGAAAGGATGATTAAAACTTTGTGTTTATAAAATTATAACTGGACTAAGGGTCCAGGTAAATTTGAAATAAGATTTTGGAATTAAACATAAGAATTCTTCCCATAATAATCTTCCTATGTTGGATTTACAAAAGGAGGCTTTTTTTTTTATAAAAAAAAAGCTTTGAAGTTTTTTGTCAGTAGGAAAAATGGGGAAAAAATGAAAAGAAATAAAGTTTTAGAATATTATTTTAAGGCACTAAATATCAATATTGTTAAAAGTAAAAGGATTAGGGTTAAAGCTGGTTTATTTGAACAGGTCTAAAATAATTAATGTTGTTATCTCTAACAACCCTTAATGGACTTTTGCTAATGGGGACTGAAAAGACAAGGTTCTTAAGAATTTATAAATATGAGGTGATGCTACTAAAATTGTTTATACTTGCTGTGATGAAATAGGAAATACACACATTCATTATATGTATACTATAGAATTAATCACATATCATCGTTAATATAGCCTTCTTTTCTTTTTTTCTTTTTCTTTTCTATGCCTTCTATATTTTCTTTTTAATTTTTTTGTTTGTATCAGTTGTTTTTTTATTGTAGCGATAAACCTTGTGTCTGATTGGCCATAATACCACTGCTTCAGATTAGTTAGTATTTTTTAAAAATCCTTACTACGTTCTTATTGATTTCATTAATAATATTTATCATCTTTTTGTCATTTTTTTCAATTGGTATTAGTGTTAGTTCTTGAAGGATTAACCCGTTATATGATTTTCTTTGCATTTGTTTCCATTCTTATTGATTTCAGTAACCCTGGTGGTTAGTAAGGCTCAACAGAGACTTCATTTCCTCGGTCCACAATAGAAAGTATCCTTACTTACTGTATAATAGTATGGTATGCTGGTTCAACAGCCACGGATAGGAAGGCACTACAGAGAGTGATTAATTCGGCACAAAAAATCATTGGTTGCCATCTAACACCACTGGATGACATCATCAGTTCTCGCTGTTTCAGCAGAGTATAGAAGATACTTAGGGACGATTCACATCCTGGTCAGTGTCTTTTCTCACTTTTATCATCGGGCAGAAGACACAGAAGTATAGCCAGACGGACAAACAGGTTTAAAAACAGCTTTTATCCATGGGCTGTCAGACTCCTAAATACAACTACAATCACTCCATGCATACATGGAAACATATGACTGGTTTCTCCCTAATTACTTGTATAAGGACCATTTTCTATATTATTCATGTTGTTTTGTATTTTGTTATGGATTGTGCCAGTAGAGGCTAAATCAATTTCGTTGTATATAGGTACAATGACAAGAAAGGTTGTTGTTATTATTATTATTATATACTTTATTCATTAAACATGAAACTTAGTCAACTGAACATTCAAAAATGCATCACAAATACCATTGACTGGTGCTAATGGTTGATATGGGTTGCATTATTATTATTATTATTATTATTATTATTATTATTATTATTATTACCATTATTATTATTATTGGTTAATCTTTGGTGAGATTCACAGCCTTTGAGGCTTGTTAATAGCTCAGCAGCTCAAGTCCTAACCAAGGACCTAGGAACTGTTAAGGTATCGTTGGAGGATGTAAGCTGTTCCGAGTAAAGTGGTTTTTTGTAGAGTCAAAATGTCCAAGTCCGGTAAATTTAGAATTTCTAAATAGCGAAATAGCCTTTTGGCTATTGCTCCAAGGGCTCCAATTACAATCGGGACAAGACACGATTTCTTTTTCCACAGTCGCTCACCTTCAATTTGCAAATCCCGGTACTTTGTGATTTTTTTCTTGCTGCTTATCTTCAATCCGTGCATCACCAGGTATTGCAATGTCAATGAACCACACTTTTTTCTTTTCAACTATTGTTATGTCAGGTGTGTTGTGGACCAAGTGCCTGTCAGTCTGAATCCTGAAGTCTCACAAGATCTTGAGTTTCTCATTCTCTAAAACTTTCTCAACCTGATGTTCCCGGGGGTGGTGGTGGTATTATTATTATTATTATTATTATTATTATTATTATTATTATTATTTACTTTATTCATTAAACATGAAACTCAATCAACTGAACATTCAAAAATGCATCACAAATACCATTGACTGGTGCTAATGGTTGATATGGGTTGCATCATCATCATTATCATTATATTATTATTATTATTATTATTATTATTATTATTATTATTATTGAAAGAATAATGTATTCTTTACCCTTTTTTAAAGATTATGTAATTTTATATTTTGTAAAAATCATAAAATTGAGTACAAAGCATTTAACAACCGCCTTGCTTAGCAATTGATGTGTTTCCCGAAAAATAAGACCGGGTCTTATATTAATTATTTGGATTAAATTATGATTTTATTGTACTTGTTTCTTAACTTGTGTTCGCTGCCCTGAGTCCTTCGGGAGAATGGCGGTATATAAATACATGTAATAAATAAATAAATAAATAAATAAATAAATAAATAAATAAATAAATAACTTTTGCTCCAAAAGACGCATTAGGGCTTATTTTCTGGTTAGGTCTTATTTTGGGGAAAATACGGTACTAAATGCATCCATCTGGCTGACAATCTTAACTGGGGCTTATTTTGGGGGTAGGACTTATATTACGAGCATCCTGAAAAATCATACTAGGACTTATTTTCCAGTTGGGTTTTATTTTCGGGGAAACAGGGTATTTTGCTCCCAACTGTGGTCATAAATCAAGGATATTGAAAAAATAACACTCATGTGATCCCAGGTACAATCTTGACTTTCTCACCTTCCTTTGACTTATAATACCTTTAAACTTGCATAAGCCAGAAATCAAAGCAAAAGTGAAAATGTTTAAATATTGGGTTACCTCAGTTTCCAAGAGTCCACTGTAAGCTGGATTGGCGGTACTTCTTCTTTTTCTTTCCTGACGTTTGCTCTGGATTTCTATAATCAATTTCAAAAGGGTTATTTTCCTGCACGTAAACTAAAATATTTAGATGAAACCTATTTGATCAGATGATTTTTCTTACTTAGCTGACCTTCTGATTAGACCTTATCTTCTATTACTCACATCTGGTTGACTGAATCATTCTGATTACCTTGGCCTTTGGATTTCTGAAGTCGGGACTGATCCCAGCAATGTGAAATTTATTTTCCTAGCAACACAAAAGCTTCGAAACCCACAATATTTGGGTCATACTAATCTGATATTGCAAGCCTTGCAATGTATTTTGCTCACAATCTAGGGCCAATTTCTCCAAAGGTATGTCCATTGCAGAAAGAAGGAAGGAAATGCCATGAACAGAAAAAACTAGAACTCAATACATTTAATTCATTTCTAACCTTATTTAGAAAAAGAGGGAAAATCCAGATAGCGATCTTGAATTTTTAATCCTAATAAGCTTTTTAATTATGCATAGCAGAGTCGTTACCTTTAACATGTTTGCATAGCCTATTTCTAAAGATGCAAAAAGAAATCTGATTTCATTATAAAATGTTGGTTATTTGTGGTACTGACTTGCATAATCAGTTTACTCATCTTATAATGACTCAGTAGGGTTCATGTTTTAAGAGCTGCTAACAGGAGCTGTGCTGCATTTTTCAAGTTCTTTCCCTTGAGATCTAACTCCAATAATACAATAAAACACTTCAGATTAAGGTTTCCAACCTCCTTTTATAAAATAATCTTGTTATTATATTGAAATACATTGCTTTTAAAAACACAATAATTTTTTTTCTAGCACGATAAGCCTTCTTACCTTCCAAGTATTCAGTCGTAACCAGGCCTAACGCTACCATAAAGGCAATTTTCTAGAGAAGAAATAAAGCAATTAAAAAAGTTATTTTTGTATCTTTTGATACTTATTTCTAATAACTGAAAGTAAAAGTTGAAATTGTTGTTGTGTATAAAGTGGATACTAATGGAACATGAGCTACAGATTCAATGTCTTTGCCTATGTGAGATATCACACAGAGATTTTCTATTGCCCCAGAGCAGGAATCGGCAACCTTTAATTTTAGTTCACACAAAGAACAGGGAGTTGGACTCTATGGTCCAAAATGTCCCTTCCAACTCTGTGACTACTCTTAGAATTTCTCTAATTCTCTCAAATTTGGAATTAGTGAGGAAAAAGAAAGGTTGAAAAGATTAAAGCTCCATGACATCCATGTTAGTGAGACAAAAATAGGATTCAGAAATATCCAATGTACTCCACTATTGTAAATGTAAAATGCAGCTCTAAGGGGACAATGCAAATTAAATAAGTAAACACTTATTTGTTTCTTTTTTTTTCAACCATTGTATCATGTTGCAAAGTATAGTGGATTATTTGCTCTTCTATGGTATTATTCAGTTGGAGTTATGCAGAACCTACCGCATTTTATCTACTTTTTAACTTTTCTTTTAAAAGACCAGCATAAATATGGAAGGGTTTTTTGTTTCATGATGTAGTAAAAATATCAATAAATGCCTTAAGAAATCAGCGGCGTATCTCTCTTTGAATAATTTGGTAAGGGTCATACACACACACACACACACACGTATACATATATATATATCTAAAAATCATGTTTAATTATATGTTCTCATCGTTAACATGCGTTTATACTAATTATACAGTTAGGTCCAATTACACTAATTGCATAAATGCATGTTAATCAACTAAAGCTTATTCAAGGAACAAAATAAATTAACCCAAAGCTTATTTATCAATGCCAAGACAATAATATATAACTGTTTCTTTAGCACACCCATAAAAATTGAGAAGCAAGAAGCAGACCTCAACTTTATATCCCAGGTATCAACATGCGAAAACTAAAACGAGGACTCCTGCTAAATCAACAAATCCATAAACAGAAAGCAAGTAAAACTGGGTTTTGGTGTCCTATTTTTTAACATTAGGATTAGGCTACAGCACCCCACATTAGTGTGAGGTCAGAGACTCCTTACATTTACGATAAGTGAGTGATAGAGTGATGAAATTTGACAAAGAATACAATGTTGGAGGTCAGATAGTTTAATGTGAGTGAAGAAATGGAAGAAAGAGAGATTGGAAATACAAGGAAATTGCTTAATTATGCTACAAATCCAGAGAATGTTTTAACCTGAGCCCTGTGTCATTAATTTAGCCTGGCTATATTTGTTTGTTTTCTTTATTGATTTTCTATCAAATACATTTCTTAGTGCTTATTGAACATTGGGTTGTCTGGGTATTTAATTTGCTTAACCATAAAAATTTACATTCTTAAACTCTACCCCTTTTTTCCAACCATTGATAAAATAGATTCCATGTTTGATAGTATTCTACATTTTCTTTCTGTTTAATTTTCAATGTCAATCTATCCAGTGGTGGGATTCAAATAATTTAACAACCAGCTGGGTAGTCGTGGCTTGATGGTCATGTGACCATATGGGTGTGGCCAACTCAACGTCACTCACGTCGATGGGTGCTTCGCCTTAGCTGTTACAATGTAATAAGGGTTAACCAGAGAGGCAGTTTCTCTAAGCAGGGCAATAAAGATTAGGCTAGAAACAACACCAGAATGTTTCCTTCCTGCCTTCCTTACAGGATTAGCCCTATAAAGTGGAAAAAAAACAAAATAAGTTTTCTTCCAACAACCGGTTCTCCGAACTGCTTAGAAAGTTAACAACCGGTTCTCCTGAATAGGTGCGAACTGGCTGAATCCCACCACTGAATCTATCCATTTCTGCACAATCTAGTATCTTCCTGATTCTCTCTTCATCTCACGGTATATCTTCATTTTTCCAGTACTGTGTGAATATAATCCTCGCTGCTGTTAAGACATGGCTATATTTGTTTAGTCTTATATAGTATGACTCAATACCTGGCAATCAACACAGATAGTCCGCAACTTATGACTGGTTATAAACAAAGTTACAACGGGACCACACAAAAGCTATTTACGACCCATTTTTGAAATTATGACACCTACACCCCCTGCAGTCACATGATCCTATTTTGGGCATTTGGCAACTGGCTCACGTTTGTAGTATCCCACAGTCATGTAGCCATGATTTATGACTTTTTTGCCAGTTTCCAGTATTTACTGCATTTATAACTGTTTGCAGCATTCCATATTCACAAGTCTACAATTTACAACTTTTGTGCTAGAAACCGGGGCTTACTTCCAGTTTCCACAAAAAATGCCCATTGCAGGCAACGGGTTTGCTTAATGACCATAGCATTCACTTAACAACCACTGCAAAAAATGTCATAAAATCAGGCACAACTGCGCGACGATCCACATTACAAGTGGCACAATTTGCAACCATAATTCTGGGTTCAATTATGTTTATATGTTAAGGACAATCTGTATATGGATGTGAACAGAGTACAGGCAGGAGACTTCGGTACCTCCAGGAGGATATTAAATGAAGTCAATTAACATGGGTCTTGGCCATGGGGTAGGATTTTCCTGTTTGTTGTAAATAAACTCTTCCCAAGTCAGCGTTTCTAGCTCAGGGCTGTCAAACTCCTGGCCCGCGGGCCGGATGCATCACATGCTGGCTACGCCCATGCCCGGTTTAGCAAAGGGGGGGAAAGTCCCGATACGTCATGTGACGATGTGAGTTTGACACCCCTGATCTAGCTAGTTGGCCTAGCAACACTTTATTTGAGATACCACACTTGCTTAAGATTCTTTCTTTCTTTCTTTCTTTCTTTCTTTCTTTCTTTCTTTCTTTCTTGCTGTTTTTCTTTTTTTCTTTCTTTCTTTCTTTTTCTTTCTCTTTCTTTTGTTCTTTCTTTCCTTCTTTCTCTCTCTCTCTCTCCCTCCCTTCCCCCCTTCTCTCTCCCTATTACCCATAGCAATTATATTATATGGCTTTTCTCTGTGTTCTTTTGAGGTTTCTACTGTCAAAATTAATTGTGGAAACCTGATTTAGCTAGAGCAGACTCCTTGAAAAATTGGTTCAATTCCTTATACCTTACAGGGGCTTGTTTTTATGGCTATGAAAAATCTGGAAAATTATTAAAATTACAAAATCAGCAAACTCATCATATAACAAGAGCATGTAAAGTATTGAAAATCGGTTTAGCTATTACAATAGAAATCATTTCAAATCTGTCTATTTCCATAATATGTATACATGTTGTATTTATGGCACAGCATACATATTGTATTGTTTCAAATTATGCATTTGAAGTGACCCCAATAACAAAATAATTAATAGCAGTAATAGTAATGGGTGCATAGGTTACTAATGGTAATAGGTTAGTATCAGTGTGTTGGCTCAAAGAGTATAATTTGTAAGAGGAGAGATCCTTCATTAAAATCTGACTTCTGCTATAAACCTACCAGGGAACCTGATAAATTACAGTTTCTGAATCTTCTCTTCTGTAATACACAGATAACACTAACCTTTCTCTCGATACCACTCTAAGAAATCCTGGGTAAAAATAAATGAATTTCCACAAAGTTCAGTGTGAATGTTAAGTGGCATTATTAATAAAATAATGCCAAAAACTGTGTAATGCTTCGTGCACTGTACATCTTTTTTTATTCTCAAATAGGAAATAAAGTGAAGCTGTTGATTTGATAGATGGATAGATGAATAGACGGACAGATATAGATTATTGATTGATTAGTCTTACAATCATATCAAAAATTAAAAACAAAGGTTAAAATACAAGGCCTGTTTCCAAGATAAAATAGGTAAAGGAAAATGCAATAATAAAATACACATGTGCTTAACACAAATAGTCAATATTCAGATAAATATATCACTTTTATTTGATAGCCCATTCAATATAATGGATTCTTAGCCAAACTGCCTTGTCTTTAAATTTAGCAGTTCTGCTAAATTTGTATACATTAGAGTCCTGTAGAAAACAGGAGAGTTGCAGTTCACTTTTTCAGTGGGCTATTCTTTCAAGTAGAGACTTTAGATATCTAAACAACCAGTCATGATATTTTAACAAAAGGGTCTGTGAAGGTTCCAACAGATACTCATATTTGGCCATGAAATCCAATAACTCAAATCCTATTCTAGAATAGGTAAAGGTAAAGGTTCCCCTCGCACATATGTGCTAGTCGTTCCTGACTCTAGGGGGGCAGTGCTCATCTCTGTTTCAAAGCCGAAGAGCCAGCGCTGTCCAAAGACATCTCTGTGGTCATTTGGCCAGCATGGCTAAATGTCAAAGGTGCACGGAACGCTATTACCTTTCCACCAAAGGTGGTCCCTATTTTTCTACTTGCATTTTTTACGTGCTTTCGAACTGCTAGGAAGCTGGGACAAGTAACGGTAGCTCACCCCATTACGCAGCACTAGGGATTCGAACCGCTGAACTGCCGACCTTTCGATCGACAAGCACACCGTCTTAACCACTGAGCCATCGCATCCCTCTTATTCTAGAATAGGCCTTTCTTAAGAATGGTATCAAACTCCCCAAGGTATTTCTCCATTTGGAAAGTGGTTGTGTTCTTAGACAACCAGTTTAAAGATCTATTTTGCCGATAACTTCATATCTATTTGAACACTGGTATCTAGGACTTTCTGTTTAAACATTTCCTTTGCCTAGAAATGGCTGGGCATGGAATGGATGCCTGTTTTTGTTCTGATCATGGGACTGATGAGTTCTTGTCAGCTCCCAGGATCATTCTTAAAAAACGGGTTTGAACTTGGTCACGGGAAGTAGAACGGATTTAATAGAATAGAAGCAAAGCTAAAAATATTCTATGTGGAAAAATCTTACAGTGAAAAAAAAAATGCCTAAGCCAAATACTTTTTCAAAAGCAGCGATTAAACTCAAGCAGCTATGTTGTGCCAAAGAGGAGGTCTACAGGAAAGA